ACTACCCAGGACTCTTCTATTTACACATCAAGACTAATAATTCAGGTTAACAGATATTGAGCGCCTACCACGTGCCAGACACTGTTGTATGTGCCTGGGACTCGTGGGTGAACAGAGTTTGCATGAGAGTGAGAGACGGCGGGGAAGATGGTTAATACAATATAAAGATAAATTGCACAATATGTGAGAAGGCAGTAAGTTCTATGGACAAAAAAGGCCAACAAGGAAAAACCGGCATGTGGGTGGGGTGACTGGTCCTAGTAGTAAATAAGGTGTGAGGATAGACTTCAATGGGAAGGTCATATTTAAATAAAGACTAGAAGGTGAGGGAGTTAGTCACTCAGATATATGGGGGAAAAGCATTATAGGAAGAGGAAACAGTCTCCACGGGAGCGGGAGTCAGGGTGGGAGCCCGGCTGGGCACCGCAGGCCAAGGACCGCAAGCACCTGCTGCAGGAGCGGCCGCGCACCTACAACCTGGATGCCTGCCAGGGAGACTTCGCCAGCAGCCTGCCGCCACCCCACATTCACCCGGTCACGGGGACACCCACCACCACCCCAGGGTCTACAACATCCACAGTCTAAATACCACCAGGTATCCTGCCAATTTCATTGTTGTCGTTGGAGGCTGCCCAGTCTGCAGAGTTGGGTTTCGGAGGACATCTTCACCTCCCTGGGCGTCTTCTTGACCATCATCTTGTTCCAATTTGGGTTCATCTGCTGTTTTGCCTTGAGGAAGTGAAGATGCCCCAACTGTGGAACAAACTTTACTTAAAGGGAACCACACACCTGGCTTTCCTCCTTCCCGCTACACAACCAGGGGCAGGGAGTGGGAGAGGGAGAAGCAGGCTTTCCACTGAGCAGGGAGCCCGATGCAGGGCTCGATCCCAGGACCCCAGGATCACGATCCCAGCCGAAAGCAGATGCCCAACGACTGAGCCACCCCCACCCTGCTTTTTCTGATGTGAATGTCGTGTACAATAGCCTTATCTGATTAAGCTTCCAGGACTGTTGTGTAAAGTGAGGTGGGATAGTTTTGGCCTGTGTGAGCTAAGGTTTCCTGAGCACAGGGGTCGCAGAGCATGGGAGAGGCCTCAGCGCTGCTCCTAGGGTTAATGACAACCCAGTAAAGCACTGCTTTTATTTTTTTGCAGTCTCCAATTTGAGAAAGGTGAGAAATAATGTTTTATTTTTTTAATTTTATTTTGTTATGTTAGTCACCGTACATCATTAGTTTTTGATGTAGTGTTCCATGATTCATTGTTTGCGTATAACACCCAGTGCCCCATGCAGTACGTTCCCTCCTTAATACCCATCACCAGGCTAACCCATCCCCCTACCCCACTCCCCCCTAAAACCCTGTTTGTTTCTGAGTCCATAGTCGCTCATGGTTCATCTCTCCCTCTGATTCCCCCCCACACTTCATTTTTCCCTTCCTTCTCCTAATGTCCTCCATGCTATTCCTTATGTTCCACAAATAAGTGAAACCATATAATTGACGTTCTCTGCTTGACTTATTTCACTTAGCATAATCTCCTCCAGTCCCATCCATGTTGATGTAAAAGTTGGGTAGTCATCCTTTCTGATGGCTGAGTAATATTCCATTGTATATATGGACCACATCTTCTTTATCCACTCATCTGTTGAAGGGCATCTTGGCTCTTTCCACAGTTTGGCTATTGTGGACATCGCTGCTATGAACATTGGGGTGCATATGGCCCTTCTTTTCACTACATCTGTGTCTTTGGGGTAAATACCCAGTAGTGCAATTGCTGGGTCATAGGGTAGCTCTATTTTTAATTTTTTGAGGAACCTTCCACACTGTTTACAGTGGCACCTGGGTGGCTCAGTGGGTTAAGCGTCTGCCTTCAGCTCAGGTCATGATCCCAGGGTCCTGGGACTGAGCCCCCTGTCGGGCTCCTTGCTCAGCATGGAGTCTGCTTCTCCCTCTCCCTCTCCCCGTTTGTGCTCTCTCTCTCTCAAATAAATAAAATCTTAAAAAATAAATAAGGTTCACACCACTGTAAGAAAAAAAAAAACTGGGGGGAAAGACTGTTAGTTGCCAACTCAACACTCAGTCTCCCCTTCTTATTATATAGAATTCCAATTGTACTTGGCAATCTGCCCAGCTAAGACATTTCCTGGCCACTCTGAACCCAGGCATGATCATGCAACAAAGTTCTGGCCAAAGACATCTAAGCTGACATTTTTGTTTGGAGCTTCTAAGGCTCTTTAAAAAGAGCTCACTTATTTAGTGTGTGCTCTTTCGCCAACCCTTCTTCCTGCAGGGTAACAAAGAAAATAGGCTGGAGCTGCAGCAGCCGTCTCAAGAATGAAAACCACACACTAAGGAGAGCTGAAAGAAGCACCTAGGACGTGGATCAAATTGAGCCTGTCCTACCAGCCCTGACCGGCTCATAGTCCCTGCTTTGTGTCAAAGGGATAGATGAAAAGATAACTTCCTTTTCCCAGAAAGCTAACCATAGAAGTAGCTTTTATTGCACACTTGGTATGTATCAGAAACCATCCTTAGTGCTTTACATGCATTAGAAAAAAAACATGTACATTAAGTATTATTCCATTCATACAAGGGAGGACACATGTTTAGCAAGGTTAGCTACCCATGGTAATCCAAGTCTTGAAGCTGGGTCCTCTATCATTAGTATGATTAATTACAATTAGCATTAATTACAATGCTATACTGGTTCCCAGTCTTTATGGTATTTATATAAATGGGATAACATCATCACAGATCCTTCTATTTATTAATGGATACTAATCTCAAAGAGATCATACTGCATGATAAAGATAAAAATGGAGATTAGAATTAAGGCTGTTTTGTTTCCCGATGGCCACATTTTCAAATACTTCTTAAGGACTCTGTTCTATGGACTTTTGGTTAGTCTTTGAAATCTACCAATAATTGTTAACAGCTCTTTCACTAAATGCTAAGTATAGCAGACATTTTCACAGGACTCTGTCCAGCAACCCGTACTCTGGGATCTTGCCCCTTTGTCCTTCCCCATCTCCACCCCTGGTTACAATGCAGACTTTTTAAGTGAAGGGCAAATACTTAAATTCAGCTTTTATTTTTAAAATTCTTCAAGTATCTTAAGCATTCAACCTACTTTTACTTTATCCAATCTTGCCATGTTAACATAGCCCAAACAGAACATTTTCTCATGGAAAATGTTTTATAAAAAATATTACCAGTGGTTGCTTTTTAGCTCCAAATCACCAAATTGGACCAAATTCCAGCCCAACTAAGAACTTTCTCAGCATTTATAAATGTCTGATATTTATTCCACTCCCTTCCAAAGCAGTGTTCTCTGCTATTAGTAATAAGATTCTGTCAGAAGTCAGGCAGACAGACAGATGAATGGATAAAGA